GGAAAGACCCATTCTGAATTGCCTGTAGGAGCAATTACTCCTTCATTTACTACATGCTGGCTTTCCCTTGTTTTGAACACTTCCTCGTGTCTGTCGGGTACTGGGTATGGTCTTATGTAGACTGGTTCAGCATCCTCTTTTAGATCTATGTGGATCTTTTCATGAGGATATCTACCAAGCTTGCCATCAAACAACTCCGTGTGTTTGGCTAGCWTCTCTTGGAATGCTAGTCTTTCTGAATCATTTATGTGCTCCTGATGGTCTGCAACCTGCTTTGGAGTCACTTTCTGGTATTGCGCATCCAGTATTTTGAGCTCTGTTTTTCCAGTAGCCCTGGCAGCATCTGCTGGTAAGTAACTGTCTGTTTTGGCTGCACGTCTGCAGTCTTGTTGCCAGTTTGGGAGTAGATGAAACTCTAGGAAACCTCCATTGAGAAGTTCATCATCCTCTGCCAGCCACATGGCCTCTGCCACCTGCTGGGGATCATTGAAATGATCTGTAGGCTTCATGTCTATGGTTGAATCCAACCATTTGATAGTGCGTTTGGAATAGAAGAGGTCCATCCCGGTCATCAATAGGAAATCGCTCCCTAGAGTCATATCATAGTTGCAAGGGGCTGAGAAGAGCCTTGCATTGATTCCCCTAATGTATTTGCCATTGCCAAACTCTGGCAATTGTATCTGTGATATGAAAACATACTTAGAAGTGTCAAAGCTTCCTTGGGCTGTTGTCATGACTGAGCTGAATTTGTCCTGGAAGGGGACTATTCCGGGTGGAAGGCAACGCTTGTGAATCAAACACATAGTACTTCCACTGTCTAAAAGAACCTTGAATGTCTGCATTGTTGGTAGGTCTTGGATGGTTTTGCAAACAAGTATGACTGCTGGTAGTACATCCGGTGCTGATGTCAGAGCTCTTACAATTACTGCTGTAGGATTTTTAAGAGCTTCTTCATTATCAAGACCATAGAACTCAAGGCTCTCTGCTGATGATTGAGTGGATGGTGTTGGAGGCAATGCAAAGAAGGCTTCTGGTTCTTTTTCTTTGCTTGGTCACCATTGCTGGTTGGGTCCTTGGAATCAGACTGTCGATCCCACTTTGTTGTTGGATTGTAGAGAGAGTGGCTTGGAGGGCCTCCACTGGAGCTGGATCCATTCTGTGTTTGTGCAAGCTGATAAGTCTGGGGTTGACTCGTAGTCTGCTGTTGGAAATTCATCTGGCCATGCTCATTGATGCAGATTGTGTAGGTACCTGGTGTAAACCTCCTGTTGTTTGCATTTGAATTTCCTTGACTGCTCTGATTCCCTCTATTGTTATTGTTGTTATTCCGTCAGCCGTCTCCCTGGAAATTGTTACCTTTTCTGTTGAATGGACATTCTCCCCATGTGTGCTCTCCATTATGTTTTCTGTAGAGCCTTGCATTGATCTTCTTCTGTCTCTCATCTTCATTGCCGGCACTGTTATTTCCTTTTCGTTGTTTCTTTCCATTCCTAGGCTGGTTGGAATCCGTCTTTGCTGCTCTTTTCTTGGGACACTGTTATTTCCTTTTCATTGTTTCTTTCCATTCCTAGGCTGGTCGGAATCCATCTTTGCTGCTCTTTTCTTAGACTGGTTGTATAGTAGTTGCTCCTCATCTGCTATCCCTTTTTGGTCTGTCATGTACTGCACGATTTGCTCAATGGTATTGTTGAGGATGTCTCTTCCACACCTGACGTAGTCATTCTGCCAAGACTTGGGAAAGGATCTAAAGAGAATCTGCTTGATCTCTCTGTCTGATAATGGTTCCTGGATTCCATGAAGGATGTTGGCTCTGGCACAACAGGTTTCAACTCTGTCAGCATGGGCCTGGCAGGAAATAGAGTGGGGCTTTCTGATAGCGTCTGATTGCAAGTATTCAATAGCTTCATCTCKGTAATTGTTACCCTTCCTGTTGAATGGGCATTCTCCCCAAGTATGTTCTCCGTTGTGTTTGTTGCAGGGCCTCGCATTGATCCTATTCTGTCTTTCATTCTGTCCTTTGTTCTGTTGCTTGTTGTTACTGTTATTGTTATTGCTATTGCGTCTCCTCTGCTTTCCATTCCTTCCTCCGTGTCCTGCATTAGTATCATCTGCTGGTCTTTTCCTCGATTGTTGATTCCTTTCATTCTTGTCTGAAAGTCCTTTCTGGTCTGTCATGAATTTTACTATTTCTTGAGGTGAATCTTCTAGGATATCTTTCCCACAACTGATATATTTATCTTGCCAAGCATTGGGAAAAGAGTGGAAAAAAATCTCCTTGATCTCTCTTTCGGATAAGGGACCCCTAATACCATGTAGTCGGTTGGCTCTGTTGCAGCAAATGAACACTTTTTTGGCATGGGCCTGACATATGGTTCCATGGGACTTTTGTATGGCATCCAACTGCAAGTATTCAATTACTTTGTCCCTTGCTTGTTTTGAAATAGCGCAGAATTCTCTAAAGGAGACAAGGGCCTGTCTCCATTGCTCTCTGGTGTTATTCTTAATCTGTCAGGGCCTTTCCACATGTTATTCCAATTCTGTCTCGGTTGGTGAGCCAAGACCATGACCCAGTTCTCATCTATTTGTTCATCCTTCAGTTTCAAATCATCCGCTTCATCCTCAAAAGCTTCCTGAATATAGAACAATTCCTGTACTCCATATTGTCCGGAGAAAACTGAGCAGTTTCTTTTCCTTCTCATTGCAGGGATTTGGATTGTTCTTAGATTGGATCCTCTTCCGGTGGTCCTTCTCAATGCCACGCTTCTTGACTTTGTTCTCGAGGAGGGTAAGACATGATTGATATGAATATCGATGTCGTGAAGAAGAGTTGGTGTTTTTGGTTGGTTTCACCATGGTCGATTCATTTATTTGGTTGTTTTTCTTAATGGTTGATTAATTTTGATACACAAAAAACGGGTAGTAATTACTGTGCACAAGATTACGTGTACTCTTAGTAAGTGTATGAAAATTGAATTATAAAATTATAGATTATCGTATCTCGATGTGAGATTTCCAAAGTTCCGATTAGATCCTTGTGTAGGTCTGGTACTGAATCTACACAGGGTTCTTACTATTCGGAACTTGTGACATCTTTGTTCTTTCTAAGATAAGATATCTCTCGATATCTTGGACCTCTTACGATCCTCAATATGATGGATCATATGATACATATATATGAAAAGTACCTTATGATATATAGGTAGGCATGGTATGTCGATCCATTCCGAGGAAGCACCGTATGTACGTATACTTCCAGTATGTACGTATCCATTTCAAGAACTTCCTTGGCCTCTACTGTTACAATCCACTTTGAGCAAGAAATATTTCACTTAATTCCTCGCCAGAGCAACTAGAAGCATACTTTGAATCCAAAGCTATGGTCCTAGCCACCATAGTAGGGTGCCTCTTCTAGTTCATGAGGTTAACCATAATATCAAGATTTTTTCTTTTAATAGTAGTAATACTCCTCTGCTTTACAATGAACTTCATGTATGGGAGTCCGCCCTCAAGGAAAAGGAAAATGCATCGGTGAAGATGGAGCAAAAAAGATTCTGCGATGCAAAAAGCGGAAGAAGGATTGGGTGGGCTCTGKAGGGAAAGGYTCTATTTYACAAGTTGTGCGCCGAAATTAAGGAACTCCGAAGAAACCCTCAAACTGGAGAGCTTTTCGAAAAACAGATGAGAGAACGGTTCAGGGAGGAATGCAGAAGGAAGAAMGGTAGAGTTAAACTATCAACAAACTCGGAACCAAGGGTTGACGTTACCATGATGGAAAACATTTATGTTTCCGAAAGGTTCAGAAACCTTAC